CTCTTTACAGAGGCCAATTTACATTTTATCAACTTAGCTGACAACACTAAATTACCCTGTTATACTCTCTCACTGATACAGCACCACAGTTTCTTTAAAAGCTTACCCTTTTTGTCCATATGAAAAAATACCTTTGAGACTGGAAAAAATTTCTGTTTTTCTGCAGAAGCATTCATTTATATTTTAAGGGTGTTAGTGTCAATTGTATCTTTTACATCTGACTCATATGATAATTGCTTAGAGGAAGATAATTATTGCCATCCTCTCATTGCTTTTAAAAAGGAGAAGTGTGCTTTGGTAACTATGTTACTTTTATCTTCACTCTGAAAAAAGTATGTATCAAAACCACAGTTTGAGATTCCAAAGAGTAAACACCTCTTAATGAGTATCTCTTATCAAGATTTTGGTGTAGTTAATGCTTTTCTGACCTTTATTCAGGATTTGTTTTCTTCAGTTCTTACAAGATTAGTTGGTGATCAATCTCACCACTAGGCAATTTGCAATTTCCTTCTAAATGCAGTTCTTTTCCTCTTAATAAAGATGACTATTTTGGTTGCTAGTCATTGACTGAGTCGTTTATTTTTTAGTTTCAATGACCCTTTGATGCCGTGAATGAGGCTCTTTGATCAGTGAACATGTTACCCTTTACACCACTAACCCTAAGTCTACAACACAAGGAAGTAATACAGTTATGTAATTGCTATTTTCTCAGATTGCAAAGCTAGAAGGCTGTGGTGTTGTTGTTGGGATATGTGGTACTGATGAGAAGTGCTGCTTCTTGACAGAAGAAATGGGCTTTGATGTGGCAATTAATTACAAGACAACAGAGAACATTAGTGAACACTTGAAAATGAAATGTCCAGCAGGAATTGATGTTTACTTTGACAATGTTGGAGGGGAAATAAGCGATGAAGTGAGTTTGTATTTCTAATGTAAAAAATGATTACTAAATGTTCTCAAGTGGCTTAAATTATATTTGTTTATTCAATATGATATTTTATATTATGTTTATTTAAAATTGCAGTGAGATTATAACTTCAGTTAATATCAACAGAGCTTAAACACCTACTTTAAAGATGTACCTAGCAAATAAAAAATATGAGATGTTTTGAAGTGAAGATTTTAAAAAATCAAATTTACCACAAAAAATTTGTCTCAAAGTAAGTCATTGGTATTGGCTTGCACTAAAGAAAACAGCTCTGATTTATTAAAATTTGGCTGCAAAGGACACTTATGCGTCAATCAATTTGAAGCTTCAACATTCCCCCCTCCTACCCCTGGGTAACCCCCTAAGTAATGGAACTTTTGTAGATTGGTTTGTTTAAACTCCTGTCCCCTGAGCAAAATCATGTTCAAATGCCCCACCCAATTTTTTTGTAAAACTTGAAGGCAAAGTCAGCAACTGTGACTCTCTACACATTGACCAAGCTTTAAAACTGAGACCTTGTACATCTTTTCTTCCAAGCCACTTGTTCACGAAAGTAAACTATTTACATTTAACATCTCCATATTACTAGATATAACACTTAGATTCCGCTGGAAAGACTTGACACTCCCAGTACAAGTTCCCCACCTCAATTAGGCAAGGTTCAACTTCCCCAACTGCCAGGCATGAATGACAGTCAAATGCCATTGATGTGGAGGTGGGGGAGGGGGAAGGGATGTTAAAGCTTTGAATTGATAGGTGCATTACTAAGAAATGGCCACAATTCAAGTACGTTCTTGTGTGAAAAACAATAGGCTCTTCATTTTGAAAAGTCCCTTGGAAGTCTAAAAAGTGCCTCCCCTTGGAAAGAGTTGGCTCTCTTGTGTAGGTAATAAATATTTTTCAGGTTAGAAATGTTTTCCTCAGTGGAGACTGAGCTTTGCTTCAAAAATCTTTGAATGAAGGTGTTCCCTGAACACAAGTGTTACAAAAGAAAGTTTCCAATGAAGCATACTTTTCACTTTTTGTTTGTTCTAGGTTATTCGCTGCATGAATAAGGACAGTCACATAGTATTATGTGGGCAGATTTCAGTTTACAACAAAGATGTTCCTTATCCACCCCCACTACCCCAGGACATACAAGACATACTGCAAACTAGGAAAATAACACGTGACCGTTTCCTGGTGTTGAATTACATGGAAAAGCTCCCGGATGGAAAAAAACAACTGGAGTCCTGGGTGCGAGAGGGAAAGTTAAAGAATCGTGAGACGATCGTGGAGGGCCTGGAGAACACTGGGAAGGCCTTTGTTGAAATGATGCGAGGTGGGAACATTGGTAAACAGATTGTGAAAGTGGCCGAGATTGTGCTTTGAAATGGTGACTTTTTGAATCACTATCTATGCCAATGATGTGAGCACGGCTATATTAAATAATCTAGATCTTTCACGGGATTTCTTTTTAATGAAATGACTTTGATAGACTAGTCTTTTATATATAAATATATAATGTAATATTTATGTATGAAAAGCGACCAAAAGAAGTTGTTGAAAAAAAACCAAAAAACCAAAAAAAGTTGTTAAACCTTGTTTACTTCATAGAAGAAAATAATTTTGTGCTGTATTTGGTGCTTTCAGTTTAGCCGTAGAGCAGTGGCTTGTAAACCACGATAAAAAGCCGAAAAACACTCCACAATTGCACCTTGCATTGATAAAAACGCAATAATTAAGATAGTAATGGTGATAAATTGAAGAGAAACACCTCTACGTTTAAGAGAGTGGATCGCTCTCCATGCAGCTACAAAAAGTTGCCTGACGGTTTTGTACACTTTTCTATCACACAATTTCCATCGCCCTCCTCCTGGGTCCTTTTGGGCTTATTGACGTGATTTACAGGTTTTTTAAGCCAAATAAAGCATAAGCTAGAGAAACAGTCACCAAAAAGCCAAGAAATCTTGCAACCCGTAAAATATCCGCCTAGGTAATCCGTTATATCATTAAAGATGCATGTCGGTCTTAATTTTTGGTTGCCAAGCTATTGGGAGGCTATTATTACATGTGCGAGCAAAATCGTTTTAAATTCAAATTAAAACCCGGTTATGTGCATGAATTGCTGATTTGTAGCGGAGGTTGGAGGAAGATTTTCTTATTTATGAAAAGACCAACTGGAACTACATCTCGACAAGCTTTTTTTTTACAGCAGTGTAATGAAAAACAGTCGCTGAACGCATCGAGAAAGTTTCAGAAAAACCGACAGAGTCGTACAAAAATTATATTTGCCGGTTACGATCATTATTACAGATGAAATCAGCTGAGAAAAACGATGAACATATGAGCTCCGCGACCGGATCGTTCGCTGAAAATGAACTTTCCACGCAGAAAAAACGCCGGTCCAAAGACATCACAGAACTAAAAGCTGAAGCTGAAGGCTTGAAAGAATCCTTGTCGAGCCTTACGACGGAAGATGAAAAATCACAAACGAAGGAAAGGGCGGCATATTTTGATGACCTGTTCCAGTTTTTAGGGACGACGAATGTTAAAATGGACAGGAAAGTGCTAGAGCACATTATGGAACTTTTAAAACTGGATGTACACCCAGACAATATTGTAGAATTGCTAACAACAGTGATGGCGATGGAAAATGAAGAGGTTATTTTCATTTGAGGATAAACACTGAGAAAAACAGTAGACCTTGTCTTTGTCGGGATCACGAATGCCTCCCAGATGTTTGTTTTAAATTTAATTAACGAGGAATAATTATTTTTATTGTTTTATTCAACTGCAAGACGTGTTTTTTAACGTTCTTTTTTGTATTTTTGTGCGTAAGTACTTACTCGTGTATAATTTTTTCATATGCAATAATTTCACAATCCGGTTTTTAATTTTCTTTTGGTTTTTAATCGCAGTAGAATAGGCTGGTACAATGTTTACCTTAACAAAACTTAAATAAACAGTGGGACACCTGTCTGGAGTGGTAGGAAAACGAATGTTTCATTGTGTGGTGTCATTTGTCTATCATTTTTTAAATTTTGATTTAATTTTTTTTATTCTACCCGACTTTAAAAAAGGAATATTAGAATTTAACTGTTATGACCTTTGTATTAGAGACTTTGAGCAATTGATTTTTCCCTAGACGGCTGATTCTTTCCGACATACGTCAAAGTCGCAGGATGGGTCATTTTAAGATTCTTTCGTTATTCAGCTATATCTTCGTGTCAAATCCTTTTCAGCACTCCGTTACAACACTCCACACTGTCCGATTTTTCACTCGTCGCTCAATATTCGATGTTAGCGTTCTTTAGTAGATTAACTTGTTACCTAGGTGGAACGTTGCCAGAGATACAGTGCAACGACTGGGAGAACAAACCTCCCCCCTAATTAGAATTTAGACAGCAACAGCAAGCATCAAATCTTGGGATGGTTGGCAGACGGGAATTATTTCTCGAGAATTTGTTTCCATTTCTAGCGCTCCATTCCATCTTCATAAAAATTACTGGTTCATGTTCAACGAAGGAGAAGGTGTTGTAAGATTGGTTTAAACGCGCCACGTGACCGAGTATTCGCTTTCTGAAGAATATCCTTAACGGGAAAAAATGATAATCACAGGCAAATATTGAAGCACTTTTCCACAACGGCTATATCGAACTATAGGTTATTGTTCATGTAATCCCTTATCCAGGTAGAACATATTTGGTCTCGCGATGCGGTTTGAAGTAAACACGGTAGACATTTTCACCCGGATGTGATTCCTCGGATTAAACCAATTTCAGCTACAAAATATTATTGTCATGTCTGAGAACACAGAGGGAAATGGTTATCGTCCTTCAGGCTTTGGAGGTTAACTTAACACTTTAAACCCTCAGCGTGACTAGCATCTATTTCTCCCTACAATATTACCCGTGAATCAAATGCTATATCAAATGTATAGAGAACAGTATGGAGAATGTACATAGTGATGTTAGGGTGAAAAAGGTTGACGGCCACAATTTCGTTCCCAGGGGCTTTTCGGTTTTCAAAATGGCGGTTTTTTTGAAAATTAGGGGGCGCCTGGGAACAAAGGTTTGTCGCACGTGAGGAACGGGATTTCTGGAAAATCAAATGTTTTCCTCGTTTCACCAAGGGTTATTCTTTATCTATTGCGTTTGAAAGAATTTTCTTAGTTTTCGATAGATTTTAGATGATTCAATGCACTTTTTAAAAGCCTCTTCAAGGATGAGATGCAGAGGTTTACTGATAGTTGGATCAGGAAGATTTGTTATCATTGATCTGCGATGACCATTTTGCTTACACCTCACAGAACCAGGTAAGACTTGTACTTCATATCAGAAATGAACCAAATAGCAAGCTTATAGATACATAGGAGTCTGCTTAGTACCTAGACGTTCTTCTAACTTCACAGATGCACCAAAGCTGTGAGAGATAATTATAGACTTGCAAACTCTACATCGTAAATTATTTTTAAACAGACCGCAAAAAAAGAAGAACTTAAAGTGAGAACATTAAAAACAACTACGAATACAGTGGTTTGGTATGAGGAATTGTATGGTTGACAGTAAGGAGAATGACAAATTTGATGTGGGAGGTAAATGGTTAACTGTTTGACCCCTAAAATTGACTAGTGTCTAATTTATTCCTTTAATATCACTCCTGAATCACACGTTAAGGGCACAAGAATACAGGTTGATTGTTATTCTCCTTTTCAGCACCTCAGGATATGTCTATGGAAAAGTATGGAGAATATGCATACTGATGGTAGGGTGTTGAGGGTTAAGTGCTTTTTAATTAATTTGAAGGTAACAAACAAGCAGTTCAAGTACGTAATTCTCTTGCTGTTCTTCTGTAATACTGCATGTTCTGTAATACTGTGTGCTTTGTAATACTGCATGTTTTGTAATACTGCATGTTCTGTAATACTACATGTTCTGTGATATTGCATGTTCTGTAATACTACATGTTCTATAATACTGCATGTTTTGTAATACTGCATGTTTTGTAATACTGCATGTTCTGCAATACTGCATATTCTGCACTACAGCATGTTCTGTAATACTGCATATTCTGCACTACAACATGTTCTGTAATACTGCATGTTCTGCAATACTGCATGTTGATATCTTTGGTTTTGGTTTTGTGATATAACTTGAAATGATCTCTGACTACTAACTCTATATGCCAGAAATCCAGAGGTTTTTTCCTGAAGTGCATTGAAGTCAACAGAGCATGAAAAGTGCATCATGGCAAATTGAAATTAGTATATAACTATAGATGTATATAAAATATGAGATGGAGAAAACAATGTACCACATTTGATCAGTAATGTTATAAGATGTACTCAGTAATAACACATAAATTATTTGCATGTGATAAAGGAAGTGGTATGCTCTTCAATGTAGTTGCTCTAGAAATAATGGCAAAAAATAAGGTCCTCACATACCGAAAGGGGGCTGGGTTCAAGTTAGGATACTGCGAGTCACTCCCAGTCACATGACTCAGTTTTTCCATGCAAAGCAACAGCTTTGTTTCCTACCCAGTATCTGGCCTGTGTCCTTTTTAAAAAGTGATAGAAATGAGAGTGGATTCTGGTTGAGTAACTAGCTGTCAATACAGAAGAACCTACTTTTTGACTGACAGAATGGCTGATTAATTGACTGACCTACAAATTAACTGACAGACCAACAAACCTACCAGAGAACTGAAAATGAAAGACTGGCTGGCTGTCTGACTGACCAACTGACTGACAAACTAATTCCCTCACTCACTTACAAACTGGCTCATTGGCATACTGACCAATCCACATATTTGATTCATTAATTGGGGGTAAGATTCAATGGTTAAGTGCTGGGCTGAAAAGCTGATTAACAGATTGACTGACTGACTGACTGAAAAACTTATTTCCTCACCTACTGTCTGACTGGTCCATTGACTCACTGATTTATAGATATGTGATCAATTGATAATTATGATTAATTAGTTTATTACATGAAAGTCATTGGCTGACAAGCTGATCAACAGATTGACCTACTGACTGACTGGATAGCAAACTAATTCTCACACTCACTGACTGAGTATTTCATTGGCTCACTTATTGATCAATATGTTTGATTATTTTATTAACTGAATGTAGGGTATAATGATAACATGTAAGTCCTTGGTTGACTAGCTGACTGACATATATATTGGCTATTAGAGGCTGACTGATTGACCAGTTGTCTGGCACACATGTTAACTTGCTAGTTTAGCTCTCCCTTCTCCCTGGAAGAATTTGTCAGAAGGTAGTCTTTGACTTGAAAGTCCCTGGCTATGAACCTTACTGAACCTCAATGTTGATTGATCACAGTCAGAGGTTCTGTATAATCATTCAGCCACAATTTAGGTACTAACAGAATTAAATAACTCACTGAGTGCTTAATGAAGTAATCTAAACAATACCAAAATTCTTGACCATGATTGGCTCTAATTGATCTGATTTGAGCACTAATTGGACAGTGTAAGGGTGATGCTTGTAATTGGACAGTACATGCCATGTGAATGTGCTGCTGTCTTTCATTTCACCCAATTAGCTTTTGTTTTTTTATGAAAATGTAAATATTGGTTTTGAATGATGGCTAGTTTATTTCTCTAATTTTGTCATAGTTTTGATTAATTGATAACAAGGCTTTTACAATTCTTGTAGTAATAATTATTCTTGAAATCAACAAAGGTAAATTTTTTGATCACTTGTAAGGTTTCAGACCAAGTTGGACTCCACCTAGTCCCATTACAATTACCTAATATAAGCTTAATGATCAGCCGTGATACAATTCTACATACAATGAACTAAATACACAACAATGCTGAATGTAATATTTTGCCCATAGGATAAGGGAGTGGTGCAGATCTTGTTTTCTCCTTGGATATACAGTCATTGTAGAAAAGTACCAAGTATGAAAGATGCAAGTATTGTACTGGTAAGTGTGAATTTTCATCCCTGCCCATACAGTCCTGAGCTTGCAATCCCATAGAAAACCACACTGAAAGCTGATGTTTAGTGGACTGGACTAGTTGACGTGAACACCCACATGGCTCTTTTGCATTTTCCGAGAATGTGAATTGAGATTGTAGACTTTAACCTCAAATATAACAAATGAGAAAATGGGTTGTGCTCTTAATGAATTATGAGTTTCTTGTAAGTTTGACTCTAAGAGAAAAAGGAAAAGTCTTTAGTAGTTGTCTAGTGTGCACCCTTCTTTTGTATGCAAGTATAAGTCCTTTTTTTTTTTAGGTTAAAACAAAATTTTCAACAGTTAGTGGTCAGATGATAAAATGTTTCACTTGGTCTGTATGAGCCACATATTTTCCTACCTGGCCCTCCTACACAGTCAATAACTACATAGTGTTTGGATGCAAACAACACAGAAACAGTTCTCTGCCTTTATGGTCTCTCATTTAGCTAAGGTCTGCTTTGTTAACTTAGTTTATCAACTTAAATGAAACAAAAAAATTTTATGCTGGCTTAAAACTTAAACTTAACTAGAAAGGTTAAATCAAATCACAGAATCAGCTCAACCACTAAAATCAATGTTAAGTCTGAGGGACAATTGACAGATCTGAATTATTAAAAGTTTATTCAATTTGATATGCATGTACATGTATAGGTAGATGGGTAAGGAGTAGTTATTTGTTAAACATTTAAATATCAATAGATGGCAGCTTACTCGAGAAGATACCCTCTTTACTTGTATACAGAATGTAATGGGGAACACAAGTAGCTAAGAGACTTTCATTTCACAGAGAAACCCCCTTCACCTTCAGAATAAACAAGAAACAGAGTCATATACAATAACAAGGTTGATAATCAGTATTTACAAACATAACTGACAAAACCAGACTCAAATAATTCCATAGTTCAAGTTATATATGGTAAGGAGGGTAATAGTATTACAAACTTAGTGTTGGATCAAAAATTCTTCAATTTGTTTTTGGACAACTTTGGATTTCTGGTGAATTGACTTTACAGCAAAACAACCCTAAAGCAAAAAAATTCCTCTATGTAACTGCTGAACATCAGTATAATTGTGTTATATTCAAGTGTCAAGAATCATATCTTTCTTTCCTTTTCAGAATTACAAATATGCTCCTCTGCCTCTGTTCCTGGATGTTTGATTGTGTAGCTGAGTTCAATGAGATAAGTATTGATACAGCTGAAAACTGTATACATTGTTTACATTGGACATAATGTGCACCAGATAAGTTTCAACTTTTTGTCTGTTGGGTACTTTAGTGTTATCAAATGAGTTGATAATGTAAATTGGCCACCATAAAGAGTTTATATCAAATGAGTTGATAATGTAAATTGGCCACTGTAAAGAGTTTAAAGGCTGATGTTTCAAGCATTAGCTCTCTGTCAGAGCGATTGAACAAAGGGTTAATGCTCGAAATGTCAGCCTTTATAATCTTTATGTTGGCCAATTTACATTATCAACTCATTTGGTAACACTAAATTACCTTGTTATACTCTTCCACTGACGCAGCACCACAGTTTCTTTAGAAACTTACCCCGTTTATTATTTTGGTCTGTTGCCCATTCATAATTTAGTTCCTTGTGACAAATATGTAGTACCTGAGGCCTAGTGATGGCAGAAATATACCTCAGTCCGTGTTGTCCCACCAATCTTTTCTGGTGGTCCCACAAAAAAAGGCTATTTCAGATACTAGACTGTAAATATGCTGTGAGCATTAAATGGTCTTTGTCCAAGATATGGGCAACTAAGAACTCACTGATAAAGGAGTCAGTTTCACCCAACAAATCTCTTCCATAGTCATAAACTGCTATGCAAAGACCTGGTCCCACAGAAAAAGGAAAAGGAAAAGGCAATGAGTGTGTTATATGTTTTGGCCCCTGGACAGTCTTTATGCGCTTATCAGAAAGTGGACTTTGTATAGGAGATGGGTGATGAATAACTTACCCTCAACTGGATCAGTTTCACCCAACAAATCTCTTCCTCAGTCTTAATCTGTGATGCAAAGACTTGGCCCAACAAAAAAAGAGAAAAAAGGATTTGAAGTGAGTATATTGAATGTTTTGGCCCCTGGACTGTCTTTATGCGCTGATCAGAAAGTGGAGTTTGTACAAGAGATGGTTGACTAAGAGCTGACCAGTTTCACCCAACAAAATCTCTTCCTCAGTCTTAATCTGTGATGCAAAGACTTGGTCCCACAAAAAATAGGAAAAGTAAATGAAGTGGGTGAGTTGAATGTTTCGGCCACTGGACAGTCTTTTTGTGCTGAACAGAGAGTGGACTTTGTACAAGAGATGGGTGACTAAGAGCTGACCCACAACGGAGTTGGTTTCACCCAACAAATCTCTTCCTTATTCTTAATCTGGGATGCAAAGACTTGGTCCCACAAAAAGGAAGAAAAGGAAAAGCAGTGAGTGTGTTGATTGTTTTGGCCACTAGACTGTCTTTATGCGCTGAACAGGGGTAGACTTTGTACAAGAGATGGGTGACTAAGAACTGACCCTCAACAGGGTCAGTTTCACCCAACTAATCTCTTTCTAGGTTTAAATCTGTGATGCAAGGACTTGTCCTACAAAAAAGAGGAAAAGGAAACGAAGTGAGTGTGTTGAATGTTTCGGCCACTGGACTGTCTTTATGCACTAAACAGAGGGTGGACTTTGCACGAGAGATGGGTGACTGAGAGCTGACTCTTAATGCTGTCAGTTTCATCCAACAAATCTCTTCTTTAGTCTTAATCTGTGATGCAAAAACTTGGTCCCTAAAAAAAGAAAAAGGAAATGAAGTGAGTGTGTTAAATGTCTTGGCCGCGGGACTGTCTTTATACACTGATCAGAGAGTAGACTCTGCACAAGAGATGGGTGGCTTAGAACTGACCCTCAACAGGGTCAGTTTCACCCAACAAATCTCTTCCTTAGTTTCAATCTGTGATGCAAAGACTTGGTCCCACAAAAAAGAGGAAAAGGAAAAGCAGTGAGTGTGTTGATTGTTTTGGCCACTAGACTGTCTTTATGCGCTGAACAGGGGTAGACTTTGTACAAGAGATGGGTGACTAAGAACTGACCCTCAACAGGGTCAGTTTCACCCAACTAATCTCTTTCTAGGTTTAAATCTGTGATGCAAAGACTTGTCCTACAAAAAAGAGGAAAAGGAAACGAAGTGAGTGTGTTGAATGTTTCGGCCACTGGACTGTCTTTATGCACTGAACAGAGGGTGGACTTTGTATGAGAGATGGGTGACTGAGAGCTGACTCTTATTGCTGTCAGTTTCACCTAACAAATCTCTTCTTTAGTCTTAATCTGTGATGCAAAGACTTGGTCCCTAAAAAAAGAAAAAGGAAATGAAGTGAGTGTGTTAAATGTCTTGGCCACGGGACTGTCTTTATGCGCTGATCAGGGAGTAGACTCTGCACAAGAGATGGGTGGCTTAGAACTGACCCTCAACAGGGTCAGTTTCACCCAACGAATCTCTTACTTAGTTTCAATCTGTGATGCAAAGACTTGGTCCCAAAAAAAAAAGGAAAAGGAAATGCAGTGAGTGTGTTGATTGTTTTGGCCACTGGACTGTCTTTATGCGCTGAACAGAGAGTGGACTTTGTGTAAGAGATGGGTGACTAAGAGCTGACCCACAAAAGAGTCAGTCTCACCCAACTAATCTCCTCCTTAGTCTTTATCTGCTTGATGCGTACACTTGGTCTCACAAAAAAATAAAGGAGAATGTAGGCCAAATATTTCGTTTTCAGCAACTGTGACTGAGCTCCTTTAAGGCGAATCTCTCTTTTGCGGCATTCTTGAGAGCGTAATTAATTTTTTTACTGATACTTGGAATTCCTCACACTCATCAAAAATTTTGTTTGATTGACAGCCTTTTGGTTTTTTTTTCTTACATTTCTTTCTTACATTCTTAGGGAATGCGATTAAATCCAAGTTAGCGGCCGTCTATGTTACCATGGAAAAGCTCCTTTATGCTCTTTGGATGATTTGAATGGTAAGAGGTAATTAGTCTTTCTCCGTAAAGTTATATTTTGTACCATTGGTAGTTTGTGGGGATAGCTAAGAGATATGAATGGAAAGGAAGGGCACTAACGTAACACTTTAACCCCGTCCCACGTAAGAGCAAGCGTAAGCATGCTATAGGTCTAAGGAATATCTGGTTGCATTCTGTACACTTTAAGGAGGGTCGTTATAGGGGAGGTGAGGGGAGGTAGCTTTGACGGTTGGTGATTAATTTTTATGGCCTTCGACGATTGACGTTTAAATTTGAAGGCCTTGACGAATGACGTTAATTAGGAAGATATATTACTAAGATGTAAGATTAGTAATACGCTTTTCTGTTTTTAAATATGGGCAATAAATGTTACATTGATGTCTTGCGCACCTTCAGGATTCTTTTTCATTCGATTGTCACGTTAGAGTCTCGCGCACCTTAAGAATTATTTTTCATTCGATTGTTAAGTTAGTATTTCGCGCACTTTTAAGAATCTTTTTCATTCGATGGTTACGTAAGTATAACGCACACTTTAAAGAATCTTTTCATTCGATGGTTTCGTTAAAATCTCGCACACTTTTAGGATTCATTTTCATTCAATTGTTACGTTAGTATCTTTTGGACTTTTTGGATTTTTTTTTCAATCGATGGTTACGTTAGTATCCAGGACACCTTTAGGATTCTTCTTGATTCGATTGTTACGTTAGTATCTTGGGCACTTTCAAAAATCTTTTTCATTCGAAGGGTACGTTAGTATCTTGCACACTTCTAAGATTCATCTTTCTTTGATTGTTGCGTTAGTGTCTCCCGCACCTTCAGGATTCATTTTCATTCAATTGTTACGTTAGTGTCCAGCACACCTTTAGGATTCTTTCTCATTCGATTGTTACGTTAATATCTTGCGCACTTTTTGGGTTCTTTTTCATTCGATTGTTACATTAGTATCTTGGGAACTTTTAGGATTCTCTTTCATTCGATTGTTACTTGAGTGTATTGCGCACCTTTAGGATTCATTTTCATCTTATTGTTACGTGAGTATCTTGCACACCTTGAAGATTCTTTGTCATTCGAGTGTTACTTTAGTATCTGGCACACTTCAATGATTCTTTTTCTTTCGATTGCTACATTAGTCTATTGCGCACTTTTAGGATTCGTTTTTGTTTTACTATTAGGTAAGTATCCCGCGCTTGTAGGATTCTCTTTCATTAAATTGTTACGTTAACATCGCGCTGACCTTTAGGATTCGTTTTCATTCCACTGTTATTTGATTGTTACGTCAGCATCTTACGCACCTTAAGAATTCTTTTTATTCGATTGTTACGTTAGAATCCCGCGTACTGTTAGGATTTATTTTCATCCAATTGTTACTTTAGCTTCGCGCACTGTTAGGATTCATTTTCATTCAATTGTTACGTTGGTATATTGCGCACCATAAGAATTCTTTTTCATTCGATTGCTACGTTCAAAGTTGGTATATTGCGCAACTTAAAGAATCTTTTTCATTTGATGGTTGCGTTAATATCTTTCGCACCTTTTTGATTCATTTTTATTCAATTGTTGCGTTAGTATTTTGCACACCTAAAGCATTTTTTGTTATTCGATTGTTACATTGGTATCTTGCACACTTTTTGGATTTTTTGTCATTCGATGGTTACGTTAGAATCCAGCACATCTTTAGGATTCTTTTTAATTTAATTGTTGCGTTAGTATCTCGAGCATTTTTAAGAATCTTTTTCATACGATGGTTAAGTTAGTATTTTGCATAGTTTTAGGACTCATTTTCATTCTATTGTCACGTTAGTGTCTCGCGCACCTTTAGTATTCATTTTCATTCAATTGTTACGTTAGCATATATCTTGCACACCTTCAGCATTCTTTGTCATTCGATTGTTACTTACTCAATGGCTTTGGTAAAAGCATTTCTCGCGGCTGAGAAAGAAAATCGATAGATTTTGCACAAACCGATTTTGGCCGTGTACTTGAAAATATTACTTCTGTCGCGAGGGTAAACATCAATAACTGAGAATTTTTGGATTGAAAATTACGTTCATTGTTTGCTTTTGTAATGATTTAACACATCTTTTCATATTGAGCCTAATATCCGACGCCCTTTACGACTCTTTTTTGGGGATCGTGGATCCTATTTTTTTATTTGTCAATGAAATCTACTTTTCTTTGCAGTAAAGGGCTATAATAATTGTGTTAAGATGATAAACAAAAGAATACATGGCTGCTTGTAGATATGGAATTTCTCTTCTCGTGTTCAACTCGAAGATAAATTCTATAGCTATGCGCGCCATGTATTATTCTCTGCATATCGCACACTCTTAAGATTATTTGTTATTCAGTTATTACGTTAGTATCTCGCCCACCTTTAGGATTCGTTTTCATTCGATATTACTTTAGTATCTCACGCACTTTTAGGATTCTTTTTCATTCAATTGTTACGTTGGTATCTTGTGCTCTTATAGGATTCTTTTTCATCCGATTGTTATGTTAGTGTCTTGTGGAATTTTAGGATCGTTTTTCTTTCGATTGTGATGTACGTATCGTACGCACCATTAGGATTCTTTTACATTCGGTTGTTAAGTTAGTATCGCGCGGACTTTTGAGATTCTTTTTCATATTGTTGTTATGTTAGTATCTTACGCACTTTTATATTTTTTCATTTAATTGTAACGCTAGTTTCGTGTGCACATTTACGATTCTTTTTTTTTCGGATTGTTTTTCATTTCATTTTTACGTTTATATTTCGCGCACCTTAAGGAAATACTTTTATTGGATTGTTGTGGTAGTATCTCGCGCCATTTTAGGGATCTTTTTCATTGGATTGTGACCTTAGCATCGCGTAGACGTTTAGGATCCTTTTTTCATTTGATTGTAACGTTAGTACCTTGAGCACTTTTAGGATTCTTTTCCATTGGATTATTGCGTTCGTACCTTGTGCACATCAAGGATCCTCTTTTATCCGATTGTTATGTCAGTATCGCGCGGGCCTTTACACGTCTTTTTCACCTGATTGTTACGTAAGTAACCAGTAAACTTTTAAAATTCTTTTTCATTCGATTGCGCACTTGAAAGATTCGTTTTCACTCGATTGTTACGTTAGTATCTCGCGCACCTCTAAGATTCCTTTTTTTATCCGCTTGTTACGTTTATATCTCGCGCACTTTTTAGATCCTTTTTCATTCGATTGTTACGTCAGTATCTCGTGGACCTTTAAGATTCGGTTTCATTCGATTGTTACGTTAGTATCGTGCGCACCTATGATTATTTTTCTTCGATTGTTAAGTATGTTGCGTACCTTCAGTATTTTTTGTTCTTCCATTGTTACGTCCTTATCGGGCGCACTTTTATTTTTTTTTCCTAATGGGATTGTTGTGTTGGTGTCTCGCGCACTTTTTGGATCTTTTTTCATTTGATTGTTTTGTATCTATTTAGAGCACTTTTAGGATTTTCTCACATCCGATTGTTATGTTATTGTTACGGATTCTTTTTTCATTGGATTTGACTTTAGGCTAGGTTAGGTTTGATCGTGAGGCTTCTTTTTAATTTAGTTGTTACGTTAGTTACGTGCGCAGATCTACAATTCCTTTTCTTTCGGATCTTTACGCAAGTATCTTGCTAACCTTTAGAATTGTTTTTCATGCGATTGTTACGTTTGTATTTCGCGCATTTTAAGGATTTTTTTCGTGGGATTGTTGCGTCAGTACGAACATCAAAGATTCTCTTTTATCCGATTGTTATGTTGGTATCGCGCGGTCTCTTTGGATTCCTTTTCATTTGATTTTTATGTTAATATCTTTCGCAGTTTTAGGATTCTTTTTCATTGGATTGTTAGGTTAACATCTCGCACACCTTAACGATTCTCTTCTCTTGGATTGTTAGGTTAGTATCGCGCGCACTTTTACAATTCTCTTTCACTTCATTCGAACGCTGGTCTAGCTCTTTTTTTTTTAGCTTTTTTAAAATCAGTAAAAAATAAAAACGTGGTGGCCTGTTCAAAGACAAGTTATTGATGAAGTCGGCTATTTTTAATATTTAAGTAACAAGCGAAATAAAAAATATTTTCAAGATTGTCATTAACAGAAGTACGTAAAACCATTGTCATTTTACTCTAAGAACCGTTGTGGACTCTCTTAGTTAAATATTCTTGTAGCTGTTCGCCATACTGCCATTCTCTTAGTTTTTACTCTCCATTTACGTATACCTCTATCTTCCTTTTATGTGTGAGAACTAGGATGACCTCAGATAAAGTAGCTGAGCTGTGCTGTGCTGAGCTGTGCTGTGCTGAGCTGTGCTGTGCTGAGCTGTGCTGTGCTGAGCTGACTTGCAAATTAAGTACAGAAAAAGTAAGTTTAGACGTTTACATCAAAAATTATGTTGAACCGTTGTGTATACAAGTTAGCTGGTTTAAACTGAGCGACAAGATTTCCGGATTAATTCGCTGAATCAAACCATATGAACTCAGAGCAAAACAAATACAGAACTTCAAAAAATTTAGGGGGCTAAACATCACAATCATTTGTTCAATGAAATGGTATGCTTATGCAAAGAAGATTAATGAAATGTGAGAGCTTTAAATTTTCGTGGAAGTTGTAAATTCTGTTGAGAATTTTCTAAATATTTGAAGTAAAACCAGAGAAAGATAACTCTTGGGTTATTTGGTTTCTAGTGTGTTAAAAGCCACATGTAATGATGTAATGTATGTAGGCATATTTTCTCTATTTGTCCTTTTAAAATAGATCTAGTAATTACAAAGTAATTTGGTATTATCAACTGAGTTGCGACTACAACTGCATATATGTTTGGAAGTGTTATAAGAGTGTAATGTATTCTTTCTCTCTCAAGTACTGTGAAGATTACATGGTCATAGAGAATGTTGTAAAAGACGAGTGATAAGTTTAATTGCAGATGTGTAATGACACCCTAAAGTGAACATGTTTTCGTAGTCTTTTGTTGAGACGTAAATTTGAATTGTTGTTGCAAATATTGGAAAATATATATAAAGCTGTAAGAATTCTCGTCTTCATGGGGCTCAATTTGAACGCATGCGTTTTGCTGTCATATTGTGTACCATACGTCACACCATGGCTCATCCTAAGTTTTTTCTTCTTTACCACCTCACAGATTTCACGCGAAAATGACCAAGTCGAGGAAAAACAGATGTCATCTTTGGAAAGAACGAAAAAATTGGGGGTCGACATATATAGACAGTTTTTTAGACATATATAGACAGTATAGACAGTTTTTTTAGAAATGATAGAAGTTGTCTACCTTGTGGTAACAACATCTTTTAATACGCATGTGTATTACAAAAGACATTTAGTTACATAAAACTCGTACTTTTGGAGTAAATGTCAACACCACAAGGTAGACAACTTTTATCATTGCTAAAAAAACTTTCTACAAGAGGTGGGTGTGGTGGGGGATGGTGGACGGGAGACTTTTAACATTTTTGCTATTTCCCTCCAGTTGTTTAAAAATCACAACGTTTCATAATGGTTTATTTATTATAAGGTACAGGGTTCGTACGGGTCCTGGAAATCCTGGAAAGTCCTGGAATTTTATTAT